CGCCCCCCCCCCCCCCCCCCAACTTTTACCTGCTTTCCTCACCTGACCTGGTGTCAAACTTACCTACTGTGGCACTGGTTTGAGAAGAGGCCCGAGGGGAAACATGTCTGTTCTACAGGGCGCTGGCTTTTGGCTCTGGTATAGGTTCTGGGGAGAAGTGTGAAGGACCTGTGTGGGGTGGTGTTCACCCACCTCTTCAAGAGACTAATGTTCAGGTGAAAATCTGCAGGGCAGAAGTGTACGAGGCACAGGCACTTGTCGCTACTGGAAAGGGAGGAAACGGTTTGTGTACAACAGAAGGAAACTGTAAATTGCAGTACACAAAAGCATAAGATGACAGCTTTTGCTTTCAGATTTTTTTTTAATTTGTGCCTTATCCTCCTTCACAGGAACTTGAGATGCAAGCTCGGGCACACGGACTGTCCCTTGTTCCATCTACAGGCCTTTGTTCCCCTGATATGGTCAACAGGGTCATCAAACAAGAGCCTGTGCTGGACAACTGCAACCAAGACATCATGCCGCACCACACAGACCTGTCTTGCACTACCACCCTCGATCTCACTGACGGTACCATCACCTTCAGTGACAACCTTGGAAACGTGACTGAACCAGCTGGCACTTACAGTGTTCCTGCAAAAATGGGATCTAAACTGGAAGATATCTTGATGGACGATACCCTCTCCCCTGTCGGAGTAACTGACCCGCTACTTTCCTCTGTGTCTCCTGGAGCATCGAAGACGAGTAGCAGGCGGAGCAGTGTGAGCATGGAGGACACCGATCATGCTTGTTAGCATATACTTGGCACACCTTTCATAAACTGCGTTGTTTCTTGATCAGTAGATTAAATAATTTACCTTTTGTAGAATTTTTTGATTTTTTTTTTCCTTGTGCTTCATCAGTAGCCCAGTGTGTGTGCGTGTGTGTATATATTATATATATAGGAATTTTTTTTTAGAATTTTTGTGAAGAAACTTGTATATTCTATTTTAAAACTACCAACACCTCCAAAATATTGTACAGCATATGTACAGTATCTGTGAACTGGATTCGCCAAGAACTTTCAACTGGTCAAATCTACTCAAAGCAATAGAATTACAAATGAAGAGTCTGTTTCTACTGGGGGGGTGGGGGGAATCGTAGAATTGTACGTGCAACCTATTTACTTGGAAACAAAATGTAAAGTTAAAGAATGTAAAGAAGCCAAAAAACAAGTCCCATTTGTAATTGTATTAATTGAATAGTGCTGCCTTAAAGATACAGTGTCCCTCAAGTGTCGGTCTTTACATGACAAGTGTTTAGGGAAGAGTACCCACCCTACTCCACTCAGAATACAAACAACAACAAGAAGTGTTAAGACATCCTGATTCTGTTGATTGTGATATAAAACGCTATTGCTGAAAATTGCAGGGAGATGCGAGTCTCTTTCTCAGAGTGCCATTTAATTTCACTCTGAGCTGATGTGGGTTTTCCTTTTGATCATGGTTCGAGTTTTTCTCTTAGATTTTTATTTTGTTTTGTACCACTCACTGATGACTTGCCAACCGTAAACAAGCAGGAGCACTGTAAGTTGGTAGATGCTCTTTGGACAAAAGAAATTGATGTGTTTTATCAGCTGGGCACATAATGTTGTACATATCTAATTGGCTTTATTTTTTTTTTTAAATTGCATTGTACAGTTTATTTTGATTTGCATGGATTCCTTAGTTATCCTCAACTTTTTGTTTTAAATATATTTGTATTTCATTTGTAAGATTTTTGCCTCTTAATATATCGCAACAATTTTTTGACATTTTTAAAACTCATTGGAAGTTTTCTGCATTCTTTATAAACACTTGAAAGGAAGCTTTTATGCAGGGTTCTGTGTTTTAAGAGAGATTTTGAGAATATTTTGTATATTACAGTCTCACTTTGAAAATGTTTTTAAACACATTTAAGGTAGAGTACAAATTTAGATTAGGTAATAAAACAACTCTGTAGAGAAACTGAACTTACATATTTATTTTTAGTGATACAGAAAAAAGTAGTAATATGCTTGGAAACATACCTATGTAGTTAATATACCCGTTATAGTAATTTGTGTTTTATTTCAGCACTGGGGCTGACATAAGAAAAAAACAAACAAACAAAAAAAAGAGTAAATTACTGTATCTGCAAATAACTGTTACTTGATACCAACGTTATTAATTTTTAACATGCAACAATGTTGTAAAAGTAGTTCGGTGCATTATCTACTCAAGTGTAGTCCTATGCAATAACGGTAGTTACACTCGTATTGTATCAAGCCTAGGTGTTCTACAGAGGTGACACGCGGTGTTACGGGCTAGACGGATTGAATGGATTTCTCAGTAGCAGCCTACAGCTGACCCGCGAGCGGCAGGCAAACGTATCTCGTTCAGAATGAAGTGCCTTAAACTCTAGTTGTAGTCTTCCTCGGCTAGCACTGACTGAAGTGTGGTGTAGGAGAGAGCTTTAGGGTGGTGGCTTGTAGGATGTTGGAGTGTAGCATGGTGCCTACGTATAGAAACAAGAGCTTCCCGTTCTCCTTTGTGCTACACTGGAAATTCCATAGGATAAATGAAATGGTTAGTGACTTGAGTGCCAGTTTGGCAGGCTTTAATAAGGAAGCCTTGGTTGCAGCAGTTAGTGTTCAGAGATCAAATGTGAATTGGGTAGCGATGGGACAGCCGGGGACAGCGTCAGGAGTTCCCATAGCCTGCGGCGCGGCTCGCTGAGCTTTCACCCAAACGTTTCCCCATGGAAGGGTTCTGGAGGTGTCCCCTGCCTGGCACCGCTCCTCCCGGCGGCGAGGGGCCTGGGGCTCGGCGGGGACGCAGCTTGCTGATACGGTACTCTGGGGTCTACGTTCGTGTCGCTCTGTCTGTGGCTGTTGCTGGCTGCGTCCGGCGATCTCTCTTTCCGCTGGAGGAGCGAGCTATGTGTTAGCATTGATGCAGCCACCAGGTTGTGGCTTTTCTTTTTTCCTTTTTTATTTTTTGAAGGAGGAGCTGGAGTTAAGATTGTAATGATGCCTCTCCCCCCAACCCTCCCACCCCAGACAGCTTTTGGGAATGTGTCTTTCCTAGGGTAGTGAAGCTCTGGCTCGGGGCAGGACCCAGGAGGCTGCAGGATGCACCGCGGCCATCATGGTCCTCGGGCAGGGAAATTCCCTGCGAGGCAGCTTTGCCGTAGTTAGCTCCGGGTCGAGTATGCGCGTACAGGCTTCTGGTGCTGCCGTTCGGTAATGATGACAGGTAAGGAGAATCAGGTCTGTAAAGTGCTTGTAGCTGTAACACAGGGTTGCATTACCCGTCCCCGTTAAAATGGGACAGCTCTGCAGCATTGTACAAAATGAGGGTGTGCACACTTGAGTGTAGTAACTGAAAACCACTGAATATATTGAATAAGGCTTTGGGTTTGATGCCCATGCTGGACATCCAGAAATTGAAGTCTAGACTGTGGTATATAAATGTTTTTCAAGCTTATGTGAAATGCTGGTACTCGCTGACAGCCATGACTTCTGATTTTTGGCTGCATGCTGTGTGGAGATGCGTTAGGATTCAAGGAAAACCGTTACATCCAGAGCTGGATTTCTTGATAAGAGTCGCTGTGGCCCCAGCAGCTGTGTTGTGTGTTCCCCGCACATTGAGTTCCTCTGGGGTCACACGAGACTCGGCTGTGCCCTGCTCACTCTTCACCCCGTGTTTCCTTAGGCTACAGCCCTCCGCTGAGCTTGCCCACCCGTTGAGTGGATGCGTGTTGGCACTGCAGTGGGGACACCTCTAGGAGACACGGACCTCCAGGTGGGGGCAAACTGGAGATGTCTTTGCGCATCATGAAACGCATGGCCGTGACATTTTACAGGGGATCGATGGCAAAGGACAGAGACGTCCATTAGAGGCAGGGTTTGGCATGAGCTAGGTGGAGTGAGATGGACGGAAGTCGTTGCCCAGGCTGATGACGGTGTCTTGTGTGACACGGGGCTGGCGGTGGCTTCCCTGAGCGGGTGGACGGGCTACCTACCAGTTCTCACTTTGCCAAAGCCATGCAACAAGCAGGAACATGCAGAGTACCATGAAGTTCTTCCTTACTGCTTTTGGCCTACAAAGCAATATTTAACTCTTACAACCTGTAAAAGCAAAAAGAAGGTACATGAGGAAAGCACAAAGCACAAAATAATGCACTTACGTTTATGTTGTTTGACATAAAATGCACTGGGGGGGAAGCTGACGTTGATAATAGTATAAATACCTATATTTCTTGAAAAAGTGACATTAATTACTGCCTCTTGCTATGATGCTTGGTACTGTAATGTTGATATTCATCTGCTGTTGACTGCAGCAATAATTTGTGTATGGTCCATAGCACTGTAAATTATGGATCAATATTAATGTATCCAATGAAATAATTTGAACTGTTGTTCTTGATAGTTGGATTAAAGCATTTGGTTTTTCACATACGTCTGTGTAAGCCACTCGTTTTCCATCTAAGTGAACCTTGTTTTTTCTGTGCCTTTGAAGACGCAGCAGTGCTCCCGTGTTTGTGACCTGACGGTGGCTGTGTCCATGTTCCTGACCTGGTGTCAGCCGGCTACCCTGCTTGCACCAGAGCTGTCCGGTTGTGTCTGTATTGTGGTAGCATGGCGGGGACGGAGCTACGGATCAGGCCCCACCTGGGCTTTGCAAGTACACGCCAAAGCGGATAACCCAAAGCTTATGGGCCAGCGAGAGGAACCAAAGGGGTGGACGTGGGAAAATGGAGTTAAGATTGTAATGTTGCTCCTCTCCCTTCCCGTGGGCTCTTGCCTTTCGCCTCCCGTCTCAGAGGGGTGTCTGCCAAAACCACTCCCGGCCGCGTTGCCCTTCTCCCACCAGCTGCCCTGTGTCGGGCGCGGGCTCGGTGAGGCCTGGGGGTACCTGCAGCTCCGCCGCGCTGCCAGTCCTGCGAGGTCGCCCACCCCCGGCAGTCCTGCGCAGAAGCAGCTCCCCACCCTGTGCACGGGGGGATCCCAGTCCTGGCTCTGCCCCCTCGGGTCGCTCCCCTGGCCCCTCCGCTCCCCAGCCTGCAGCCAGCTCCTGCGTTGTGCTGGGAGCTGCAGCTAGTGCTGGTTAGGAACCAGCTGGGCTCTTGTTTTGTCTTCCATCTTCATTATTTTTCCCTGTCTCTGTCGCTTTCGTCCCTTCTAGTCTTGTTTTTCGGCAGGCTGTCGCTTTCTATGCTCGCAGCGTGGAGTCCTCGCCGTCTCTGTGGACGTTGCTGCAGCAGCAGTGGTGGTTAATGCACGTTACCTCGTGGGTTTTCAGCCCTGAATACAAACAACAGAAGTTTTGAATTTGGCCTGTGTCTTGAAAATCTGATCCCTAGTAGGATTAAAAAATAGTCCAGTTAGTTACATTTAAAAATGACTAGCTGTTCTACATCACTCGATTTAAAAAACTGAACAAAAAATGTTGGGCAAAGCTACCTGACTGCTAGGAATACAGCAGAAAAACCTGTGCCCTCTTTGTAGAAGGTGTTAAGAGTTGAACTTTGCGAGTGTTGCCAGCAGGCTTTGTAATGCTGTTTCTTTAGACAATCCAGCACAGTATTAGAATGCGGCATTGTAATACTGCAGTAGTAAGTCTATTTGTCAGCAATCCAGGATATCGTTTCGAACAAGTTCAGTTATTTAGATGTATTTTGGCTTTCCTTTTGGCGGTCAGTTGTGCCGGCGCTGTGTTTTGGGAGCGGATTTCTTGGTGGTGGGAGCAGCTCTGGGTTGCAGAGCCGGGAGGAGCAGGAAGAAAACCTGTCGTGGGGGTGAGGGCTGTAGCTCGAGGCGTGTCGGGAAAGGGGGGGCAGCGAATCTGCTTGGAAGCCTTTTAGTTCCTCTGGACATGCCTGAAAAGTTCTGTGTGGGGTAAGAAAGCGGATGTTAACAATAAGGCTGCGCATGCTTGGTGGGGTCCGGTTGGCTGGGCTGCGGGATGCTGTGGGGCTCGGCTGCAGTTCCAGTGCGAATCTTCCCTTTTTACGACTTTCTCACCTGAATCGTAAAGGAGCTTCTGTCGAGCTCCGGCAATGTCGGACATGGACGGATGTTCTCGTCGGCAATTCCCAGCCCCTCTTTCACCCCGTCCCTGCACTTACTGGGGCTGAGGCACTGTTGTGCTCTGTGCTTGTAGAGGGAAACGATGGTTCCTGCACAGACCTGTACATTAAATGCTGTCCAAGAGCTGCGCGCGGCAATGAGAAGGCTGCTACAGTCAGTAGGATGAGCCAGGGCCTGCAAAGCATCTACATATTGGTTGCTCTTTTAACGTATTTATAAAAATCACCATGGGGTTGATGTACACGGTTGCATGTTGTGGATGCTGTCTCAAAGGAGGAGCTATGGGAAAAATGTCCTGAGCCATCTGCTGTGGGCCAGGGCAGCTGCACTGGGCGTCTGGGGTGGCTGTAGGACACCGTCGGAGGCTTTGG